GAGAAACACTGGCATAGACAATCCACCTTCCCTTAAGCCTCAGAGCAGAGAGAGATAGATGTTCAGATCAATAATTCTTTGGTGATCACAAATTTTATAAACACCATTTTATGAACTTATTTTATGAATAAATTCATTAAAATTCAGATTCTTTCTATTGCTTTGCACAGCCTTAAAAAGGCAATTGGGTTGTTATATTAATAACACGTAACATGAAAGATTTAAAAACACAAGAAGGTCATATTGACAAACACAGCTAAAGTGAAAACATTACTTAAGTCTATACTTCTCCACCCAGGTGATGAACAGTTCCACTCAAATATATATCAAAAATACCAAAGTATTATCCTACCACCATAAGGGCTTGCTCTAATTTGAAGTCATGTTTGAGCACATCCCAGATCTTTTTCTTTTATTTCACTCTCTCATTAAGATCTGCCGCTGCCTTTTGTTCCAGTGAGAAAATGATTAAGATTGTTGCGCCGACACAGAGAATTTTACACTACCCATTTTTCATAAGGACGAGTACCCATGTGTTCCTATTTTTCTCATGGTAAAAAGACAAGTGTACATAATGTCCTTTATATAACCCACAAGAACTACATAAAAGAGCCAGTTTGGTTTCATGGTTGAAGATGCTGAATTAAGACAAGAGAGTGGCATAAAAACCAGCTGAGTGACTTTGGGTTATTATTATTCTGTCTCAACCCTAGGAAGAAAGTACAGGCAAACCACTTCCAAAATTTTTACCAAGAAAATTGTATCAACCTGTCCACGTAGTCACCAGGGGTCAGGATTGAGTGAAAGGACAACTATATCAAAATATTAATATATAAAATCCCACAGTATACCACAGAGATTATAGTATCAATTTCTGCCACAATCATCAGGGAAAAGGTGTTTTGAATGGGGGAGGAAAGAAAAATCATTTTTTTCATCTGAAGAGATATGACTGAGCTATTCAATTAGCCTTGAAGCTACTGTACTACGCACAGGCTTAAGTTGAATAATGAAATATTTGCAGTTTTCTGTAGCCACCAAAAGCTGGTTGAAATAAAGCTAATGCTCTACAAGCAATATAGCCTTGGATTTTGGACAAACCTCCAGAGAATCTATAAACCAAAGCAGAGGGTCTTACGTGACAACTGTCCCATAACATATAGCGTGTCCTTATTTACACACTGCACTATGGCATGGTTTCCGAATAAACCCCAACTGATGACACACCAAGCCATAACATCTCCTATACGGTAAAGACTATTGTGGGAGGATTCACACAGCCTGTGAAATCATAAAGTAGTGTTTGCTTTCCCATTAGAAAATACATGCTTTCATACATGTATTAGCATGGCTATTTTGCTAGAAAATAGTCATTTTGCCAATGTGAGCATCTACAACACTATTGATTCTATTGCTTTAGATCTTAAAGTGAAAACTTCCTTGAAGAGAGTTTGACTCCTAGTCAGACCATGAAGCTTTCTTGACAACAACATGAAGGCGGCTTTCCACTATCATCTTCTGGGATGTTTTTGACATATCCCTCTAGTTTACACCCTTGAAATTTCCTGGTGGTGTCCATTCCACGTAGTAATAAGGCCCAACCCTGCTTAATTTGTACATAACGGGAAACCCAGGTTGCCATTAAGCATACCCCTAAATAGGAAGTTGAAGACAACTTAAGCTCCTTCAAATGTTTTAACATGAGTTTTCTAATTTCATAGGGATAAACTCACATATGCACATCTATTACTGGCTGCAAAAGAGAAATCCTACCCATACATCCTCAAACCCATGCAATTCTAAAAATATCTGTGCAAACAAGTTAAAACAAAAAAAAAATCAACTCTAGATGAGGCATAGCCCTGTCCCACACCCCGATACAATGTCTCTTTTAGGATTGGATTCAGTGCTTGGCCTAGTCCCATAGATAGCTTGCAGCTAAGGCAGCGTTAACCGAGTTAAAGAGCCAACTCTCCCGATTTACTAAATCTGATCCGGAAACGTGGAACGGTTCCTAACATCCCCCATCAGCTAGCGAGCGCCACTTTTCAACGCACGAGAACAAGCGAACCTGCTCGGCCCACCCCTTTCAACCCTGATCCCAACTTGCAGGTTCAGGCAGGCCACCGAGAACGCTCGTTCCGACGACCCCCCGAGCGATGCGCTTCGAGGCGCCGCTCCTCAAGTGCGCAATAATCCCGGGAAAGGCAGAGAAAGGTGAGCGAGACGGGCGGACGGGGCCACCTTCCTTACAGCCCCGCATCACAATCCAGGGCCCGCCTGGACGGGCGAGGGGGCCTGTGAAAGTCCCCCCACAGTCCCGCATCCCTGCTCACCGGGGGAATACAGCTCAGCCAGCTCGCGGGCGCCCGCGTGCTGGGCTCCCCACCGGGGACAGGCATCCTCGGCGGCAGCGGCTGCTGCTCCTGCTTCTCCTTCCTCTTGGGCAGCTGACGCAGCGGCCTCCGCCTCGGACGACGCCCTGGCCGGCTCGCAGCCGGCTCCAGCCGCCCGGAGT